CCTTGCACATTTTGTTTAAGTATTATTCCGGACAAAGAGTGACCGGATAAGTTTAAACCGGACAAGCCTTAGACGGTTTGTTGTCCGGAGTTGGTAAACCGGCTAAGTTTCAAGCGGTTTAGAATTGGTAGTGTTACTTATAATTTTATACTGAGAAGTAGGAATACGATCACATGGGGACCGGTTTATTCTTAAACCGGACAAGCCTTGAACGGACTAGTGTCCGGATTTAGTATCCGTTCAAAGATGAGTTTTATTCTAAGTATATTGTCCGGATTTGTTATCCGGACAAACTTGAGATTTTTCCTAAGTGTTAAACCGGACAAAGAGTATTAATGTGTTATCCGGACTTGTTAACCGGACAATGTAAATTTTATTCTAAGTGACTAAACCGGATGATTGTTGACCGGATTTGTTGATCGGACTTGTTGATCGGATTTGAGATGATACTTTGTGAGTGGATAAAAATTGTTATTTTATCATAAAATAAAGTTTTGATATAAATGATTTTGGATTGATAAAAATTCCAATGACTGCGGTCTATTCAGAATTATTTTATAAATGTTTTGATGAAGGCATAAGGGTGGCATATCAAAGAGAGGTGTCCATTTGTTATAAGGGTGGCATATCAAGGAGAGGTGTCCATTTGTTATAAGGGTGGCATATCAAGGAGAGGTGTCCCATGGGATAAATGTGACATATCAAGGAGAGGTGTCCATTGGATATAAGGGTGGCATTGTATGTGTGCGATTTTATATAACTCTTTCTATTATTTCCTTTAAGACTACTGAGATCTGGAATCTTTATTTCTTTGTGATTTAAGGATTTAGGATCAAGGTTCTTATTTGGAAATCATAGATTGGATGTTATTGAGGAGAAAAGATCTGTTTTGGTCTGAAACTTTGTTAAACCTCGTTTATTGAGAAATTTTTTTTAAAAAGTGGCATTGTATGGAACCTGATTGGTTTAAAAGGTATGAGATTTGAATAAGCTAAGTGATAGCTTGAATTTGATAAATGACTTGGTATTTTGGTCTTATGGATTCATATATTTGCTATTTATATGAATGCTTGATTTTATAAAGATTTTGGTGATCTTTCACCCTGCAATGACATGAATAGGGTATCTCACTAGACTTTTCAGTCTAACCCTCGTTTTTTGTGATTTTAAATATGTATTGCAGGTCGGGTAGAAGGTAAAGGAAAAGAAAAGATTTAATGTTTTTCTTATATGCATTTTGGATGAAGATTTGCTTTTGATGCATAGTTTTGATGATTAGTACAAGRTTGTATTTTGAATTTTTGGACCTTGTGTTTGGTCATRATAGWTTCTTGTACTAGTGGACCCGAATGTATATGAATATGTATTTCTTTGGTATGAAATATGTGTTACATGCAATGTGTGGGTTGGGACGTTACAATATGTGTGCAAAGACATGATGAACGTAAAAGGATGCATGCATATGTTATGTTATGTATGTATATATATGTGATACCTTAATAGGTAAGGTGCATGTGCAGTATAATAATATTTAAATGGTATCTTAGTGATGAAGTAAAATAGTATCTTAGTGATGAAGTAAAATGGTATCTTAGTGATNTGATGAAGTAAAATGGTATCTTAGTGATGAAGTAAAATGATATCTTAATGATAAAGTAAAATGGTATCTTAATGATGAAGTAAAATGATATCTTAGTGATGAAGTAAATTAAGTTTTATAATACTAAACCTGCCACCCAAAAATGTTGTGATTGGTTAAAGATTTCACCAACCTGTAATTTATAAATAATCATCACCGCCTTAGAAAGAAGTATAAAAAGAAGAATAATATAAGATAATCTTATCATTCTTTGTTTTGAAAGAAGAGATATTTTTAGAAAAAAAAGTTGAAGACGGTGAAGGTGTTCTTGAGAAAGAACCAACGTTTTAAATAATCTGTGTTTGCTGTGTGATCTTTTACTGCAGAATCTGTTGTAACAAGGTGAGTTTAACTACTGTTTTGATATAACTTGTGAGTTTTTGAACTACTATCTGTTTACAAACCGTGAGTTTATATCTACTGTTGATTTTGTAAACTGTTGAATATTGATGGTTTGAAGTTTAAAGGAATTTGGTAAAACTATTCTGTTTAAGTTTTAAAGGAAATATTTTGTGATTCTGAAGTTTGAATATGTTTTGGAAAAGATTAAAGGAGAAACTATGCTTTAAAAACAATTTTGGATTTGATATCTTGTGTTGAGGATTTAAAGAGGATTAGATTATTTGAGAAATCATTTACAGAACAGATTGTTCTAAGGCTCAGGAGGTTTTGAATATAAACCTATTTTGATATTATGATTGGTTAAAATTATAGACGAGGTTCACTCTGACGCATATGACTTTGTTCTGTCATTGGATGAAATAGTCTATAGGTTTTGGTTAAAACTATGAACGAGGTTCACTCTAACAGATATGCCTGCAACCTGTCATTGGATGAAATAGTTCATAAGATTTTCAGGAGAAATAAGGATGGTCGTTGTGTGTGTGCATGGTATAACTATTGCTATTATATCTTTTAAGATTACAACAGATTGGAGTTCTCACTTCTTGGTGATTTGATGATTCAAAGATGTTGTTCTTATTAGAAATAATAATATTGATGTTATGGTTACGAGAAAATATGACCTATGGTCATTAATTTTGATTAAAAGTGTTTTGAAACAGAATATGATTTTCAGCCTTTACTACATGGAATGAACTATTTGAAATTAATGTTTTGGTGATCTTCACCTTACATTACATAAAAAGGGAACATAACTAGACATACATGCTAACTCTCATTTTGTGTTTAAAAAAATATGCGTGCAGGTAATGATAATAAGGGAAATAACATTATGTGAATTACTTCCCTATGTGTTTAACTATGTGAAGATCTTGATTAGCCATGTTTTGGAGTATAGATGCTATGATACAAGAGCATGTACTTTTGAAATTTTTGAGTTGTGTATTTTACATTATAGACTCTTGTATTTTGGACCTATGTGGGCTTAACATGTAATCTATGAATGTTTTATGTATAATATGCAAAATATGGATTTGGGGGTTGTTACACTCCGTCTGGAAAAGAAGACTTCAGAGTTCGAGTGAGCTAACTCTGAAAAATAACTATTTAGACTTATACTCTGGAAATGACTCTGAAGACTTGTATTCTTGAAAAAACAAACTTCAGAGTTCAGGTGCTTTGTTATAAGTTGAACGGATTGTGGCACCGTTCGAGGAGCTAAATCTGAAGAATGACTTTAGACTTGTTCTCTTAAAATAACTCTGAAGTAAAACTTTTCAGTAAATTGAATTTAGAATAAAATGAAGTTAACCCTAGAATAAAATTGAGTTAGAAATGAAAAAACTATATCAGTATATTAAACTTAAACTTAGAAGTAAACACATTTTTTTTTCGGGAATCAGTTACCACACAAATTAATTAACCCAGGAATAAAATCAATGACATCATAAATTAGTGAGATTGATTGAATAAAAGAACACATGTCAATCAAATGAGTATAACTGAACCTTTAATATAAATTGTGTTTATATACGTTCAAAATGAGTCTAATTGAACCACCAATGTAAATTGTGTCTAGATACATGTTTAGGCAGAAAACAAGAAAACCGACTCAGAAGAAGATGACACATGTCATCCAAGTTACTTATTTATTATAAGTATAGATTTATTTCGGGTTATATATTTAATTATTTATATATTTTAGTATCGTCCATCTTAAAAATTCCAAACGTATATATAAACACAATAATTGCGGTCATTACACATGTTGGCAGGTTTATGAACACCGCCGATTAGGACCACTTCAAGAAACAGAATCTCACGTCGCATATTCGCCGCCGGCGACGGAGGTTATCGATTTCAGTGCACCGACTGAATCATCGTCGGTCCAAGCTCAATCGACGTTTTTAGTTTAATTTTGTGTTCTCTGATTGACTCATGCAATTTGACCCCCTGGTTTAATCTACCGCAATGGACGGATTTCGAGTTAAGCAGGAAACCGTAGAGCCATTGGGTAACAACAATGGCGATTATACTAAAAGGAGGAATATTTCGAAGGTTGCGGTGATTGATCTCGATAGTTCTGATGACGATTCTTCTACTTCTGGTAATGGAGTTAGTAATGGGAAGAGGTTTAGGGTTTCGAATGATGGTGTTGGTGCAGAAGGTCATGGTGAAAAGAGGAAGAAATCTAGCGAGGGTGTGGTTCTTCCTGCAGGTTTTCTTGATCCTTTGCCGCCGAAGAATGTGGCATCGCGTGGTGCGAATGGAACTGGTGTGCTGGCTCAGGGCTGTAAGCAGTTTTGGAAGGCTGGTGATTTCAATCAAGGTGTGGGTGGGAATTGGGAAACGTCGTCTGGTAAGCCATAATGTGCTATGATCTATGCTTTGATTGTTACTAAAATTTGCATTATAAAGCTAATTTGGGAACTTGTGATAATTAATTGTAATCATTAGCATTTAAAGTTGTTAAGCTTGAAGATAATTGGGTTTCTTTACCTAATCGTGGTTGTAACAGAACTTTATTGGTTATTGAGTTTAAACTAAGTTTCTTGTGAATGTTTCTAACAGGACCTGAGGAAAAAGGTAAAGGTATGGATGGGAAAGGGAGGAACAGTAGAGATGTTTTGCTTTAAATTTCTGATGTTTATGTTTATTTCAATATCCTCCCCAACATCTATTGCCATACAGGAGTTTCCAATTGCCAAATGCATGTGTCAATATTTTGGCTTCAAGGGTTATTCAGGATTATGTAGGAATAAACCTCTTCTCAGTCTCACATGGGGTCTTCACGGAAACATGTGTTCTACTCTTTGACCCGACCCCACATTTGGGTGGGATATAACGGGCTTGTTTGGTTTGATGTAGAAATAAACCAACCAAATCAAACGAACCCAGGATATTGGGGGTTTGGGAAGGGTATGCTTTATGCAGACTAGATAGTTGTTTCCATGACGACGGGGATTATGAAACAAGATTATGTAGAAATAAGATTCTAACACAGAAAGGATCACACAGATTTATTTAGAAATGCAGATTTATATTCAAATGAGTACAAATCATAGAGGGTCCTTGGAAGAAGCCTAAAAGAATGTCTATGTGGTTAACATACATTATTATATAACTACTTTGGTAAAAGCATTATTCACATTTTGGGGTGTAGCATACAAAGGTAAGAAAATGGACTATAGAAGAAGTTGGAGACCATGGATTAACTTGCAATTGGTGAAGAGAAAGGAATAATAGTATACAATGCGTAATAAAAGTTGCATGAAAATGCCATGAACTCTTGATAATCAAGGCTAGAAACATTTGTATTATTCATCTGAACAGCTTCGCATGTAGATAGCAACATGCCATGATTATGAGTTTCTAAATAATTCTTTAGCGACAAATCAGTTGAGAATTGAGGGGTTGCTCCTGATTTGGTTGGATCTTTATTTGGAACGGCAGACGTTGGTCTCTTAAAGTCACCTATGAATTGTAGATTTGTTTGATTCTTCTATACAATTTGTACTATACATTTCCCCATCAAATTGCATTTGTCAAGAAAGAGTGTTAAGCAAACAAAACTAGGTGTGCACAGCCTGTTAAAAACCATATTGCATCATTGTATGATTTGTAACTTTAAACGTAAGTTGAACTTGTAAACAGAAGCTTCAAGATTGCTACTGCAAGCTCTATGCCTGACTTCTTTCATATGACAGGTGGTATGGATCACGTAAGAGTTCATCCTAGGTTTCTACACTCCAATGCAACTAGTCATAAATGGGTTCTTGGCGGTAATATTGCTATACCTATTTATCAAAGTCCTTGAATTTGTTACCAGTCTATAATTTCTCTCATGTTCACACCTTCATGGTTTGTACACTCATCGATTGGTGTATATGTATGCTCATGCAGCTTTTGCCGAACTTTTGGATAATTCATTGGATGAGGTGCTTTCCATTTTTCTTACCTCATTATTAATTTTGTTATTATATTCAAGTCCCATTTGATGTTACATATCTGTCACTTAAAGCTTCTGGTATTTTTATCAGGTCTGCAATGGCGCTACATATGTGAACATTGATATGCTAACAAACAAGAAAGACGGAAATAGGATGTTGCTTATTGAAGGTATGTGGCCTAATGATCTCTTATAAGAATAGGACCTACCATGCTTTTATGTTGGTATTAGATACTTGCCTAATGCCAAGTTGGTGAACACTTCAGTAGTTGTTCATTTTTGTTTTTGGTCTTTCTTTTTTGTCATTTGGTGCTTGATGTATGCCATGTCATGCCTCTTTGGAAACACAAATGAAAGATGGCAGTCAATACATAAAATATTTGGATCTGAAGAATCATAATATAACTTGTGCAGGAGGATTGAGTGTGCTTAGATGTGGGTTGGTCTAGGCACTCATTCCTTTCCATGCAGTGCTCCTTCCTTGTTGTTAACCGTTCTTGCCACTCACTGTAGATAATGGTGGTGGGATGGACCCAGATAAGATGCGACAATGCATGTCTCTTGGATATTCTTTGAAAAGCAAGGTTGCAGACACTATTGGACAATGTAAGTGAAAATTTGATTAAAAGCACCCCTTTTATGTCTCTAAGAAGATTATGATCAAAAAATAAGTATACATTGTTGTTAGTGAATTTTTGGAAGCAGATACCTATACTCACTGCATTTTTTTTTGTTTTCCATTGTCGTACTTTTGACAGACGGAAACGGTTTCAAGACAAGTACCATGAGGCTTGGGGCTGATGTCATCGTCTTCTCTAGATGCTCTGCAAAAGATGGAAAAAGGTCAGTAATGTATTTATGTATCATTAGTTCCTCATTCCAATCACACTTCCCTCCAAAACAAATTTACCCTATTGTTTGTATGCAAGCGCTAAATATCTGAATGTTAGGTGAAATGATCTATAAGAATACTGCACACATGTTTCCTGATATGGGGATGTGTATTTGGACCTAATATATCGGATACCTATGCTATGTCCAAACCTTTGGCAATCGGAGTGTCACATTTATTGAAGAGGTTGATGAATAGATTAAATCTTGCCGAATGTACCCCAGCGTCTCTTTGATATTGAGCCATATTCATGTGCAATTGTGCATGAACAGCTTGGGTTTGAGCCATTGATGCATAACTGGGTTTATTTGGGTTAACATTTCAAACCAATTGAAAATGAGAGGTGTTGCCCTCGGATGACATACAATTTGTGTACAAATTTTACCAGACATGGAATTAGCAGCTTTTTTAAGTAAAAAATTGCATCATGGTCTGTTTAACTAAAATATTAATCACGTACAAACTGTTTATGCCGTCGTGTCTTTTCTAGCGGTTTAGGTTTTGGATGTCCCTTTTTTGATTGTTGATACATGGTTCATCAATTTGTCAAGTTTTCATGCCTCTTTATTATTGTGAAAGAGAGGTGATGGAGGAAGGTTGGTTTGTATAGCTGTCTAGTTTTTATCACCATTCCAATTTACACAACTTCCTTCCCTAATCCACTGCTGTCTTTTCTGTGATGCATTTTCTTTCAACTGAATATCATAACTGTGCTTGTGGAGTTGCGGGCATACTCTCGAAAAAGATCGAAAAGATAAAGCACTAAAAACTAAATCTGGTCCGTCTTGTCTTGCAGGTCTACACAGAGCATTGGCCTCTTGTCCTACACATTTCTACGTTGCACTGGGAAGGAAGATATAGTAGTTCCCATGGTAATTATGTTAATTAGCTTGTTATGCACAATTTCACTTATCTTTTTTATATCGTTAAATCTGTAAGAATACAGAGCTCCTCAGTTCTTGTGATAAAATGACATTTCAAGAAACCGGGAACTGGGTTTGTCACCCTCTTTAAGGTTTTACTTTGAATGTGGTTGATATGGCTAAGAGCTCTTTCAATTATAACACAAATTACCTCAAGCTGGTGTTGCTTTTTGGTAGGATAATGCGTTTGTACTTCGGGCTAAAGAATAGCAGGGAAATGAAAGGAAAATAATTTTTTTATTTGTGTTTTCGAAAGAGAAGGAAAAGGAAGGAAAGAAAAAGAAAGAATTTTTTTTCCATGTTCTTGAACAGGAGAGAAAAGAAAGGAAATGTCATTTTTACAGATATACTCTTTAAAAATGTGTCCTTTATAATTAAAGGTTGGGTAGTTTTGTAATTTTAATCATCTTTTTAAAGGTTTTTAATTTCTTTCCTTTCCTTTCCTTCGCTTTCCTCCCACATCTGGAAACAAGTTTTGGGAGGAAACTTATGATATTTTCCTTCTATTTCCTTTCCTTTCTCTCCTAAAATAGTTTCGAGACCATGAGATTTTTTTACTTTTCTCTCCTTTTCCTCCCTTTCCTTTCAATTCCTTAGTAAAAAAGGTTTCGAGAACACAACGTAAGAGTTAAGTATGTGGTTTATTTTAGCTTTGATAGCTAAGACCTTTAGGAAGATCCGTGGGTCTAGGATGGTAGACGATGTATGTCTGCTACGATATCAGATTGGGGCAATATTCTTGGTTGATGTTCTATTAACTTGTTAGGAAGCATCTACATTATGTAAGCATGATACAAGCTTTAGTTATGAATCCGTAAATCATCATGGTTTCTTATAAAATGAAAATGCTTATTATTTTATGTGACCTGAAGTTCAAATCACTACCTAAAGTCCCATACCAGATCTTTCCGCAACAATTCATTTGATAAACTTTTTGATCTTATTCATCCGTATTGCTGGAAAATCATGAGCCGCTTGTTAGTTCTTCCTCATCTATGGCTTTTAATGTATTTCATCCATCTTCAATTCTTCATAGCAAGTCATTCATTACAAAGTCACTTATGTTATTGGTGTTTTTCTTGATTGCAACGAAAAAAGCTTGATTATGAAAGAGGCGTTCGAGAATGGAAAAAAATAATACGATCATCAGCCAGTGATTGGGATAAGAATGCTAAGGCAGTGGTCGAATGGTCTCCATTTTCAAGTGAAACAGACCTCCAGAAACAGGTGAAATTTATTCTTCTCTTTTCTGCCTGTTTTTCCATAAGAAAAGCAGCTACTGCTTTGAACTTCAACAACCGTCATCAAATTCCCCTTTCTACTTTTCTCTGCCTTTTTTCCATGAGGAGTACAAGAAATTTGTATTCTTATTTAGAATTTTTTGGGAAGTTTCTTTAACGCAAAGGAACATGATTCTTGTTCTGTGTTTTGATTGTGTTGTCCTATACTTATTGGAGCAAGCCCAAGAACTGTTTTTGTTCATCTTTGACACAATTTCAGTTCTTTATGGTAAATTGTATTATTTTGATAAGTCTTTAGTCCATGGTACATCTTCCTGATTGTAGGTTTTTAATTATCTGATTGGGGATATTCAATACTTTGGATTTTGGGCAGTTAATATGTTTTTAACTTCTATTACTCTTTTCGTCTTGTAGTTTGATCATATGAAGGATCAGGGTACACGCATAATCATTTACAATCTGTGGGAGGATGATCAAGGACAGTTAGAACTCGATTTTGATACTGATAAAGATGTTTGTTCTCTTGTTTGTCTTAAATCAGTGAATATAGGCCTTACATCTTGAAGATAAATGAGCTTAATTTACATTTAATCCATATCCTGCAGGATATTCAAATTCGAGGTGTTAATCGAGATGAGAAGAATATCCAAATGGCTAATAAGTTCCCAAACTCTAGACACTTCTTGACATATCGGCATTCACTAAGGGTAAGCCTTGCTACTAAGGGCCTGTTTGTTAGCAGCTTAATAAAGCTTAATGGGACTCGCAACTTATTTGGTCAGTTGGTAGTGGCTTAATGATAGAGAAAGTGGCTTAATAAGTAAGCTTCTAGGGGGGAGCTTTATGCAGAAAGCCAAGTTTTTTCCAAACCTGCCCCTCTCAATTAAAAAATACGCTCCTTCCATCTATGAAAAAACCCTCCTAAACAAAACCTTCCCAATCTATACAGACATATTAATCCAATGAGACGACTTTATCCATACAGGACTTAATGGAACATCAACCATTCAGCCCCTAAAGCCTTGTTTGGTTATCTTCTTTTTACTTATTAGTATAATTTTTGTCACCACTATTTGCAATGAGAATTGCAGCCTTTTTGATCTTTATATGCTTCAGTAGACCCACATTGGTTTAATTACGTGTCTTCTATACTTTTTTCAGAGTTACTCATCCATTCTCTATCTAAGAATTCCTCCTGGATTCCGGATGATTCTCCGCGGAAAGGACGTGCAGCACCATAATATAGTAAACGATATGATGATGACCAGCGAGGTCACATATCGTCCACAACCTGGTGCTGATGGGGTTTCTAAGGATTCCAATGTAATGATGGTCTCAGTTTGATAAATTTGTTGATTATGTATTAGTTTAAGTTACTTTATTAATTACGGGTTTTCTATGAACAGATAGTTGCCATTGTTACCATGGGGTTTGTCAAGGATGCAAAAGCTCATATTGACGTTCAAGGATACAATGTTTACCATAAAAATCGACTTATTAAGGTTTGAATCCTTTTTACCATTTTATCCTTATGATGCATGAAGTTTTATGTCTCTGGTTGTTCCAAGTAACAGTTTTTCTTGCTTTGATATAATTTCCGGGCCAGTTGGCAAAAAAAACATGTGGGGTTCGGGTGCGTTTGGTACACAGGACAGGACTGAACGAAAACCTGTTGTCCCACGTTTGGTAAATTACTAAACTACCCATGTCAAATCAGAACCCTAAAACCTTGCACAATTCTTTCACGCGCCTACCTCACTCTCGCCCGTCCAGTCCCGTCTTGTCCAGTCTCGTTTGTGTACCAAACGCACCCGTAGTTACCAAGCCTTGAAGTTTAGTTATCTATATATCTTTATAAAAGGGCACTTGCCATTATCTTGAAAATTTTAAGAGGTACTACCTATCAAACTTGATGTACATATTTTAAAACTTCCATCTGCAAGTCCCAACTACTCTCCTCCCCACTAGAATTTTCGAAAAGTATCAATTGTTATGCTTATCGTACAAGTCTCAAAGCTCATAACCTGCAACACCCTATTTCCTGTGTAACCACCCTCATCAGCCTTAGCAAATGATATCAGAACAATAAAAACCCTTCCCAAAAATCTCAAAGGATCCCGAAGAAAGAAAGAACTCCATCCATTTAAAATGTTCAACTCACAATCCCCTACCCAAGAAGATATTGTGAATGACACACAATTGATAATAGCGCACATTGTGAAGAGTGCAGTACTCCACCTAGCTGAAGCATAAAAAGGAACATGGATGAATTACTCACACTCTAATCATGTCTGTTGTTGCTGTTGCATTTTCACGTGTTAGAATGCGATGCTCTCACCCAGTTTATGAATTGTTTACTTAGACATGTACTTATCGAGAAGAAAAGAATGATGTCATTTACATCCTGGCATTGCGCAGTACACATACTAGTTTAGTGAAAAAGAAGAGTTCCGCCTCCTCTTTCACTTGTTAATCAAGGGTTATCTTGAATCAAATGTTGAGCTGGCCCATCCACTAACAAACAAATTCTCCGACCTTAACAGAAACATGTACAGAAACTTACATTGTGACGCTTCTTGTTTAACAGCCATTCTGGAGACTCTGGAATGCTAGTGGAAGTGACGGTCGTGGAGTAATAGGTCATGTTTCTTCCTTGAAATTTTGGAGTCTTTACATGAATATTTATTAGCAGAGAACAAATTTGAAATTTGCTTCTTTTTTCTTTCTTTTTGCTGTTGATTAGGCGTGCTGGAAGCTAATTTCGTAGAACCAGCTCACGACAAACAGGGGTTCGAGCGAACTATTGTCCTTTCTAGACTGGAATCACGTCTCATTCAGATGCAGAAGACGTACTGGTATGTTATATATATATATATATATATATATATATATATATATATGCTTATGCACTTACATAATGCACAACCAATGACACGTGATCACTTCTTGATTCAGGCATACGTACTGCCATATATATATATATATATGCTTATGCTTATGCACTTACATAATGCACAACCAATGACACATGATCACTTCTTGATTCAGGCGTACGTACTGCCACAGAATTGGTTATGCTCCGAGAATCAGTATGAGCAGTCTGGAGGACAGAGGTACGTAGGTTTTTGAATTGTTTTCAAGGGTAGGGGTGTAAACGAACAGAGCCTGGGTCGAGTGGTAGGTTATTGCTTGACTCGGAAAAAAAAAAAAATACCAGGCTCAAGCTCGAATAACCTTTTCAATGTAAGGCTCGAGCTCGGGTAGTTTTTGAGTTATGGAGCTCGATGCTCGTTTATGGGCTCAAAACTCACGATCGATTAACTCTTTATTGGCTCGAGGTTGATGGTTTTTATATTTCTATTTGTATGATTTATGAACATATTAGTATTGTTTGGCTCAAAAAAGTGTATGCTCGAATGGCTTGGTTCGACTTGAAAAATTTAATCGAGATTTCGAACGAGTCGAGTCGAACATTGGTGTTATAAAGCTCGGCTCGTTAAGTTAAACGAGTTTTATTTTGTGTCCAAGATGGACTCGAGCTCGAGATGAACAAGCTCGAGTAGCTCGTTAAAAGCTTGACTCATTTACACCCCTAGGTAGGGGTTGGGGGAGATGTTCACATGCCATATTTTTTGTTTCATCAGAGCTACTCCAAAAACTCCATTTTCTCGATCTATTGAAGTTATGAGAAAACCAGCTTCTCTGATCTTTATGTTTCTTTTTTGTTATTCTAGATTTTTCTCCCGACTTTTCCCCTGAAACCTCTTCTAAGAGGAAAAAAGTTTCCACAAACATACCAATTCCACCTTCGAACAAATCCTCTTTAAATAAAAATCAGAAACAGGGAGGAAGCAATTCAATCAGACATCCAACAGCAACTATGAATGATATTGGGGAAAAGGGAAATAATTTGCACACGAAATTCGGGGAAGGCCCAAACTCACCACATTTGGCTGAAAATGTCCGCGATGATGACCTGCAAACAACCATGAATATGAGGCATACAAATAGCAGTTCTGATAAAGGAATATCAGCTAAGAAGTCTACTCCAAAGGATGGTTCTCGTTCAGCTTATGAGGAAGATTGTTCTCCTAATGGGACGACTATGCAAATTGTCGCACGTGCTCAGTCAAAGGTAATTTTTGGATCTTTGGGCATTCTTCTGTATGCTGATCTATGAGGGGCTGAGCGGGGTCCCGTGCACCCGCCTCAACCGATTTTTGCAAGTGATTCTTTTTGGGGTATGAAAGGTGCACCCGCTAAACATTAAGGGTGCTCCGAGATATTAGAATTACAAGGAATATCAACCAAAAAACTTAAAGAATCCCTTGAAAATGTGAAATTTGGCTAAAAATACATTGTGTGATTTCACGGGCCTTTGATCCCATGGACGGACAAAATGTAGAGCATACGGTGGCCCGTGCCTCTTTATTGTGCATCTGTCTTAGTGTAAATTATTCTAGTGTCGTGAAAAGTAACACCATATTAATTTGTTGTGTGCCACCGTATATATTTTGAAACTACAATGAGAACACAAGTTTTCCTTGGTAGAGTTGGTTTGCAAGGTTTTTCTTCCACCCCAGACCCCCAAGTTCTAATCTTGTTGGTGTCATTTTTTTAATTTTTAACTCTTACTTTCAGATCTATTATGTTTCTGGAAAAAATTGCAATAAAAGACTTGAACGCAGGATCTCACATATGAAAATCAATGAACCAACCAACACCAATTATGATTTTGTGAAAAATACCTTATATTTGTTTCTTATAGTCAAATGGTGCCACCATTTGAAAAAATTCCTCGGTTCATCCCTGTATTGATCCACCTTAAAGGTGCACCCGCTTGGCAAAAATCCTGGGTCCACCACTACAATAAAGTTGGTTTAGCCTGTGGTTTTGTCATTGCATTCTAGAGGATATGGTTTCAAGTTGTTTTTTGTGATTTTCTATATACTCAACTTCCATTGTATCTGCACGCAACATATAGGATATGGGTATTACTCTTAAGTCCAAAACTTGAGGGCCAGTTCATCTGGCAAATAAAGGCCGGGTCCCACAGGTTAATTTTAATCTGTCATTCATATGTCTTGCTTCACGAAAACGGCCACTCTGCTCCTAGGGGTAGAGGTCAGGTCTACATACATTCCTCCCCCACCCCGACCCCGATCCCACCCCTAGATGTGATATACTGGGCTCGTTTGGTTTGGTTTGGTTTGGTTTGGTTTATCAGTAACTATGGCTGTTTGAGTTTAAGTTCTGAGCTGACAGTATGACTGGCCTGATGGATCCAATTTCTTTTGATTTGCAGTTTCCTAGTGTTTGTGAAAATGGAAATGCTCCTTTAAACAGTAACGCACTTACTTTCGACCAGTTGGTGGAAGAGAACCGCCAACTAAAGGAGAAGTATGCCGCCTTTTTCTACCATATATGCGCAAATTAGAATTTGTTGCAAGCGGCAACTTCATTTATAGTTTTTTTGTTCTTATCCTCGTAGGTTGAGAAGGAAGGAAGATGAGATCATGGGTGATCTACTGCATGATCTAGAAAGTGAAAGAAATCGTTGCAAGGAACTTGAAGCTCAGGTATTCCATAATAATCGAACTTCTCCCATTACGGTTTACCACTATTCTAGTTTTTTGACCTTTTCTTTGTTTCCGTACACTATTGGTTCTCTGTTTTGATACTGGATTGATACAATAAGCTTTAGCCTGCAGACCAAATATATATAGTGTTAGAGTTTCACATCAGCTAGACTTGGATAATTTCTTCTCAATATATGTTGGAACCTCCCTTCTCTCCTCAAGGGTTCTTTTGGAGAGTAATTTAATGGGGTTTCACACATTCTCACATAGTACCAGAGCCAACATATATCACTTTAGGGACTCGACACCTTGGGGCATCTGTACTCGTCTAGCTCCCTCACTCATTTAGCCCCCTCTCGACTCCTCTAGGACAATATGTGCCTGTCTAGCCTACGTTGGAGGGGGCGTGCTAGAGTCTCGTATCGACTAGACTTGATCATTTCTCCTCAATATATTTTGGAACCAACCTTCTCTCCTCAAGGATCTTTTGGAGGGTAATCTGATGGGGTTTCACATTTTCTCACATATATTACAAGCATAACGCACCTTTCTAGTGGTGTTTGGGCATATTTCGATAATATCATACATGATCTCACTTAGAAATTCATTTTTAAGTTAGTGTATACTCCGCCCGACCCACAAAAATTTCAACAGTTCCACTTTAGATGGAAATTGCAACATTTTCTGTTATGATAAGATATGCCTGTGGTGAACAAATTGATGATGCCATGAAGGTCCTTTATTTCGTCATTATTGAATGGTATTTTGAACATTTGGCAATTAGTCCACTCCTCAAAAATTATATGCGTAGCTAAATGTTGTGATTTCAATGAGCCGGAGAGAGTGGATAGAGTGATTTTCATTTGTAAACACAATTTGCTTAATGATTTGAGTTAAACTCATCCTAATTCTCACGTAAGGGAGTCTTCGATTGTCTTGAAAACAAAGGTGGTAAATGACCTTAGACGTGATACTACGACGAGGTCAAGGTATGGCTTAAGGCAACAAATCTATAATATATATATATATATATATATATATACGTGTGTGTGTGTGTGTCGAACAATAATGTTGAACCATTTAAATTCATATAAAATTATAAAAGAAAGAACCCATGTATTGATATCAAATATATAGGAGTACATGATAACAAAAGAATGTTCTAATGTGGTTCCATAATCCATATCTCTAATCTAAGATCATATAAAAAAAGTATGTTCGATTAGATTAGATGTATCGTATAAAGAAATTATCCTTCCATTTAATCTTAATATATACCCAAAAGTCCATCATCGGGGGTTAACTTGGCACCATAACGAGTCTTACTGCCTGCCATACTGCGTTATTTAGAATATTACTTGAAACGTGTGTACATTTTCTCCGTACGTGTTCTAATTGTGATTCATTATGAAGCTTGAGGAAGCAAAGGAGAAAAGCGAGATCCTCAACAAGGAGCAAGAAAGTATAATCGACATATTTGCAGAGGAAAGAGATCGACGAGACATTGAGGAGGAGGCTTTAAGAAAGAAGTTGAAGGTTGGTTCTTTATCTTCGTTTTCTCTTATTTTGCGTTTTCGTTTGTCCTTTGGACGGTCGGTCTCCTTTCGTTGTTCACATATGTTCCCATTGCCTCTCTTTTTTTTGTACCCGTTACTTGGCTGCATACACTTTCACTTTTCATTGAAACAACCTCTATGCCCCTTCGGTAAAGGAAAGGTGTGCGTATATCCCACCTCCAGACCTTATATCTGCATGGGATTTATTGGGTTAGTTCGGTATGGTTTTACAACCAAAGTAGGGACGGACCCAGGTGGTGCATGTGGTGGCACAGGCCACCGCTTCATTCCTCAATCGTAGTGTAAAAAGTTATAGGGTCGTGAAAGGTGTCACCGTATCATTTTGTTCTATGAAACCGTATGTATTTTGAAACTATAATGCTGTGACACAAGTTTCCTTGGTAGAGTTGGTTTGCATGACTTTTCTCCCATCCTAAACCGGGGTCAAATCCCATTCATGTCATTCTCTTTAGTTTTTAGCTTTTAATTTCAGATTTATTATGTTTCTGAAATTTTTTGCAACAAAAGATTCGAACACAAGACCTCACATATGAAAAGCAATAAGTCATCACGGTATGAATCCCGATCATTACCAGCCTGCAAGTTCAAGATGTTCAGAATTAGTCAACCAAGGAATCATAAGAGTCCACAACGTCACCATGGGCATACCAGTGAAGATTTTATGAAAAATATTCATATATTTGTTTCTTATAGTCAAATGTGTCATCGCTTGAAAAAAATTCTAGGCCCGTCTCTATTATCTACCCATTGGGTAGAGGAAAGGTCTGTGCATATCCTACTCTCAGACCCTACATCTGCATGAGATTTACTGGGTTGGTTTGGTCTGGTCTAGTCTGGTCTGGTGGTTTACCCTTTGAACAGTCTCCTAATGTCTCGCTTGTTTCAGGAGGCAACGGCTACCATCCAAAATTTGGTCGAGCGGGTGAAACAGTTGGAGTTGGAGAAGATGAAAACGCACAAACGGAACGCGTCGTAGTTGAAAGCTTGTAGATGGATGTGGTCATAGTTGTGCATGTATATAACCAACCATTTCCACCCTGATTTGGGGTTTTACTATAATCTACGAGTCTAATGGTGTTGGTGCCAAATTTTGCATTTAGAGTGAGAGTGTCTGCATGAATGTCGATAACTAAGTAGGGAGCTCTATATAGGTGCGTTATTCGATCGTTTAAATCGCTTTTTTGGGTTAAATTCGGTTTGGGTTAATCAGTTTTCAACTTTTTTTCTTTTCAAACTACCTGATAACCGAACCAAATAAGATTTGTTATAATCGATTTTGGGTTGTTCGGTTGAGTCTCTCTTAGAGTCTGCTTGTTAGTGGCTTAATGAATGTAACGAGAACGGCTTATTCAATCAACTACACATGATTATTTGGAAGTGGTTTAATGATATAGAAAATGACTTATTAAGTAAGTTTCATGAAGTACTGTTTATTAATGCATACTACTTAAAATTCAAGAATACAAGTAAATTGTGCGTAAGTAAGCTCCATATTTGAATTCATGTAACTAAATATAGATAAATATAATCAAATAGAAGATAAAATTATTATTTTATATATAAAAATCTAAAATTTAAAATATAATTATTGAGTTTTAAAAGAATATTTAATTATTATCTTTATAAAAATTATAATATTAAACCAAAAATAAATTACTACGACATTAAATCTAAATTAAATTATAATAAAAAAAATTACAAAAAAAAATGGTAACTTTTATATATATATTTTTAATTTTTGTGATATCTTTAAATTTATATTTTATTAAGAAAAACATTATTATTTGTTCAAAACCACATAAATTCGTATTACAACATCGCCAAAAACTAAAAAAAAATGAAACATTAAAATTGAAATACATCTTATTGCATTGTGCGAATACCCTTCTAATTTATGTAATGAATGATCATTTAAATTAATAGATCAAAATATTATAGTATTAAATATTGAGTTCAATCAGTTAACAATTTAAACCAAAACTAATGACAAAATATTAAACAAGATATTCAAACCCATGTCCTTCACAAATATTCAATACAAACCAACCACCCGACAACACATTCAAATATATTTATTTAGGGACTGTTTACCTAAATGCTTATTCAGTAAACGCTAATCATTAGAAGTCAACATTATAATTTATTTTCTAGGTAAGATTATAGTATATCAAAATGGTATTGTGTGCAACAATATATATGGTAAACGCTTACCCAGGTAAGAGTCGTCACCCTCACTTACAGGGTAAAACTCTCTATCCTTATCATCGTTCTTACCAAGTAAGATTCATGGGTCTTGCCATGTTCGTCCAGTGAGAAAAATTGCCCGGTAAGTACTTACCGGGTAAGCGTTTAGTAAACGGCCCCTTAATATTCAATAGAGAACAATAATTAAATAAAAGAATACGAAAATGATCAAATCACATGTGATTATATAGTAACGGTCAGCGTAAGTGTGTGCAAACAACCTGTCAAAATCACGGGAATCACGTGTGTTTTTAGTGTAGAATCACATGTGACTTAACCGTTTTCTTTTATTTAGTTACTGTTATTGTTTAAAACCGCTCCTATAAACTTAAAATGTGTTTGTTCGTGTTCATTTACTCGTTTATATTCGTTCATTAAGATGCTAAACAAACATAAACGAACATAAAACAAAACAATTGAACATAAAAAAAACCATAATTACTTATCATTTTTTCCGTAAAAATAATAAAAAACCGAGTAACTTAAGAGGCGTAAAAGCGGAATTATAAAAATTTAATCTAAGTAATGATTTTACATATTAATATCATAATATATAAATATATATTTTTTATATATAAGCAAACGTAAATGAACGAAACCATAAGGATGGTGCTTGATTGGTTTGAGTTTGGCTCCAAAGGTCAAAAGTACCAGGAGATCCCAGGTTCAAATCCAAGAAAAAATTTAATCTATACTATATTATAAAACATTTGACAAAAAATTTTAAAAATCATTCTTTATTCATAAAGTATTGTATATTAGTGCATATTACTTAAAATTTAAGAATGCAAGTAAATTATGCGTACGTACAACTTATTAAAGCTCCATTTTTAAATTCATATAACTAATTGCAGATAAACATAATCAAATACATGATAAACATCTCATTTTTTACATCAAAAAATCAAAAAATATAATTAGGATAATCATTAAGTTCTAACAGAATCATTATCTTTATAAAATTTTATTGTTAAGCCAAAAATAAATTACTTCACTAAATCGTAAAAATATTATCTTTCTCAAAACCACATAAATCGTATTAGATCAACAAAGACAAAAAAAAACATTAAAGATAAAGACATTTATCGCTGCATTGTGCTAATACCATTCTAGTATAAATAAATGAATATAGACAAATTGCATTAAAAAATAACATATTTTAATTTGATTCTTATTTTGGGTAACGTACTTTCAAAACTTTCATTTTGATACATAATATGTAAAGTTTTAGACGTTTAAGTACCCAGCTAACCGGTTTAATCCCATCACTCGTCACATCAACATGATAACCATTTAATGCTTCAACCAATTATCCGAATACTTAAATATTTAAAACTTTACATCTTAAATATCAAAATAAAAGTTTTAAAAGTAAATTACCTACCATATAAACCAAATTTAAATACGTTTACAAACGGTTCCCTCGGTATAAACCATGGTCACCAAAATGGCTCACATTTGGGTTGGAAATGGAAGCATTGTAGTACATGCTCCTTTATGGCGCGTGTGACTATAGTCTTTTTCTTAACTACAGTCACGAGTCATCCTCCCACGTGCAACTTAACCATGGTTAACATCCCCACGCGCCTCTTGCACATCATCCTCCATTGGTTAATTAATTTACTTTACGTCGTTCACTTTTAAATTTTTCATTTTACACTTTTATCAAATTAACATATATAATCGTATATTAATTAAAATATATTTAAAAAATACATTTTTATTTTAATAAGTTACATCATTATAATCGTCTCGTTAATACCTTCGAAATGAGTCTAATATTAAATAATTTTTGACTTAATTATATTATTATATATTATATATTGTGAAAAAATATTTTTAATATTTATGATTTATAATTTTATAGTTATTTATTTAATTTATGATACATCATTTATTTTTTTTAAATTATACTTTATATTTTGTAGTTAATTAATTTATTTTTACATTTTTATCACATAAACGTATATCTATACTATATTATAAAGCATTTGGTAAAAACTCTTAAAAACCATTTTTTATGCGTAAACCTAATATTGAACATCGTTTTATCTAATTGTGGAATTGTAATTATATAAATATTATAAGAGTATAAAATAAAAATAAAGAAGTAAATAAATATAATAAATTTTTATAAAAATATAAAATATAATATTGAAAAAAATTCATATACAAATATATAATT